CTCTGGTTGCTAAATATCTATATGCTCTATGGTTGCTAAGTATTCATATCCTCTCTGGTGCTAAGTGTTCATATACTCTCTGGTTGCTAAGTAGTCATATGCTCTCTGGTTTCTAAGTACTCATATGTTGTCTAGTTGCTAAGTATTTATATGCTCTCTGGTTGTTAAATATTCATATGCTCTCTGGTTGCTAAGTGTTCATATACTCAGAACTGAGATTAGAGTTACTTGTGAGGGGATCTAAGGAAACCTTACCGATGTCAAGTAGTCTTTACCTGTAGTATCGCTTTAATATTACAAGATATGTTAGTGTGTTACTGTGCACATCGTAATGAGTGTTCACTGCAGTATTAAGTGTTGTAATCACTGCCAGAAACAAACATTAAATCGAGTATATGTGGTGTTAACCCTGGTTTGTATAGTTACGACATGTAACCAAGGTAACAAGGTGTAAAGGAGCAACATAATAACGCCCCTTTCAGCCAATATGGGATAATACTGTTACGTATATATATAATGTATAGTTGCTAAGAATCCATATGTTTCTGATTGCAAAGTATTCATATGTTCTCTGGTTGTTAAATATTCATATCCTCTCTGGTTGCTAAGTATTCATATCCTCTCTGGTTGCTAAGTATTCATATGTTCTCTGGTTTCAAAGTATTCATATGTTGTCTGGTTGCTAAGTATTCATATGCTCTCTGGTTTCTAAGTTCTCATATGTTGTCTGGTTGCTAAGTATTCATATGCTCTCTGGTTGTTAAATATCTATATGCTCTCTGGTTGCTAAGTATTCATATCCTCTCTGGTTGCTAAGTGTTCATATACTCTCTGGTTGCTAAGTAGACATATGCTCTCTGGTTGCTAAGTATTCATATGTTGTCTGGTTTCTAACTACTCATATGTTGTCTGGTTGCTAAGTATTCATATGCTCTCTGGTTGTTAAGTATTCATATGCTCTCTGGTTGCTAAGTATTCATATGCTCTCTGGTTGCTAAGTGTTCATATACTCTCTGGTTGCTAAGTATTCATATGTTCTCTGGTTGTTAAATATTCATATGCTCTTTGGTTGCTAAGTATTCATATGCTCTCTGGTTGCTAAGTATTCATATGCTCTCTGGTTGCTAAGTGTTCATATACTTTCTGGTTGCTAAGTATTTATATGCTCTCTGGTTTCTAAGTATTCATATGTTGTCTGGTTGCTAAGTATTCATATGCTCTCTGGTTGTTAAATATTCATATGCTCTCTGGTTGCTAAGTATTCATATGCTCTCTGGTTGCTAAGTATTCATATGCTCTCTGGTTGCTAATTGTTCATATACTCTCTGGTTGCTGAGTATTCATATGCTCTCTGGTTGCTAAGTATCC